TCCATTTCTTTGAATGGCAATTTGGGGTTTAGGGTTTAGGGTTTAGGGTTTGGGGTTTAGGGTTTAGGGTTTAGGGTTTGGGGTTTGGGGTTTGGGGTCTAGGGTTTGGGGTTTAGGGTTTAGGGTTTGGGGTTTAGGGTTTTGAGTGAGTCAGAGGCCTGAGCACTTGAGCCCAAAACACGCCTCAGGGCTTCCACCCTAAGGCACTCTGCAGCCTGAAAGCTTGTTTCCACCCTAAACCCTAAACCCTAAACCCTCCCTAAACCCTAAACCCTAAACAGTAAACCTTTTCAACCCTAAACCCTAAACAATGACGCCTTTCTCAACCTCGGGTCGAAGCTTTTGCAGCTTTGGCCCCGGCCTAGGGGTCCGGGAGCCCGCGAGGAAGAGGAGCTGGGCCTGCCAGGAGATGGGCACTTAGGGTTTAATTAGGGTTTAGGGCTTAGGGTTTAGGGTTTAGGGTTGCAGCGTCGTGGGTACCCAAAAACACCCCTTAACTAAGGAATAGACCTTAGGTTATATAGGGATCCTTAATATGGTTTAAGGTATATTCCTGAGTTAAGGGGTATTGGGCTCTTTGGGTAGAACTATAGGGTTCTATAGGGACGGCAACCTATCTTTTGACCTTAGTTAAGGTACTTTTTCCCTGCTCATTACTACCCATGACCCTTCACGCAGAAGGCTTACTTAGCGGCTGGATATGGAGGATGGTTTAGGGTTTTGAGGAGTTGAGGGGCTGGGGGCTTATAGAGCTCAATAGTCTTGGAGATTTGGGAGTTGAGGGAGTTGGGGGTTTCGGAACAGTGCTGGGAAGGATTTCGGGTGTATGGGAAAGGGAATGAGCCGGCTAGGCTTAGGGCGTTAAACCCTAAACCCGCCTCTCTCTCCCTTGCCCACGTACACGTACCCTGTATTCAGGTTCGTACCCTATATTAGGGTTTAGGGTACCAGTTCTTTGTAAGGAAGTATAGAGGGCCTGAGGTACAGTACAAAAATGTAACCCATCCCTCCGGGAATCAGCTGCGACCCACTACAACCTAAGCCCGAGACCCAAACTTGGCAATCCAGGGAGTCAAACTCGCCCACCTGAACGTGAAATGCCCCCGCAGAAGCAGGAATCCGACTTCAAGGCTCATGGGCAGTCATAAGTAGACTTCTGAATACCTTACTTCAGGTCATAATGTAGGTTCCCGTACTTACAACCCTACTTATAGCTGCCATGAACCTTCAAGCAACCAGTGACGAGTCAGATGGCTTACTGTAAGCCATGGCATGGTGCCTTGGAACTGCGTGGAGCCACGGGCTCACGTCCAGCGTTGGCCTTGGAGAAGATGCCCACAAGAGGATGGGGACAAAGCGATGGTCGGGTGAACAGGGTTTAGGGTTTAAGGTTTCGGGTTTACAGGGGATTCATTTACGACATTTTGCGTCAAGACAAGGGCGTACTTGTAGAAAACAGCATACATTGCGAGAGCTGCGGGTCTGAGCCCGTAGCGAGCAGCGCTAAGTTTACCAGCCACAAGCACAAGGGTTTTCGAGGGGTTTAGGGCTGGAAGGTGACTAATTTCTGCTTCAGGGTGTCGGGCTAAGGCCTTAGGCATTTAGGGCCGCAATCAGAAAGACCTTTGTCGGCTCAGACACCAATCTACGGCTAAACCCTAACACCTGACAGAACCGTAAAATCGAATTCGAACCCTTACTCCATATCTTTCTATTTTTGTTTCATTTGAAACCTCTTCCACCAACAACAGCAACACCTCTCTCTCTTTGTTTATTACTAACTCTATATCTTTCTATTTTATATCACCAACTGAACTTGAATATTATTTGATTCATTAGATTTGTTATTTGTGTTTGATACCAATTCTCTTTATTATTTTGTGTACACATATATATATGCATTATTATTGGGTATTATTAAAATATATTTATCATGTGTATCAAAATTATTGCATAATCAATTTAAACCTGTAAGTGTTTGTTGTAATATACTTTTAGTATATATAAACCAGATAATTTATTTTTCAATCATTTAAAAGTAAAATGCTTCCTTATTTCTATGATTGTATTTGAAATAAGATGTACTAAATTTTCAACACTACATGAGCCTCCTTGTTGCTAAACAGAAGCCCAAGCCCTCAGCCCTCAGCCCTAAGCCGTAAACCCTAAACAAAAATCCTGAATCAAAGCCTGAAGCACTTGATACACACGGCTTGGATGCATTCGGATGCGACAGCCCATGCATACCTAAAACTGCACAGCACCTGGGTTGAGGGTTTAGCCTCGAGGCGTAGCAGACATTCACAAAATCTGATGTGTTAAGGTTCCTCAGAAGTAGCAGAACATACCTGAGTAGGGATGATAGTAGCACAGGGTATGCGATGCCAATCTTCGGGGTTCATTACTCGAAGCCGCCAGCCTACTCCCTGAAAACTAATAATCCCCTCAACCCTAGAATAAAGCCTCTATGCACGCCCCCTGTAAGCCCGACACCCTACAACATCCCTAAAACTCCAAACCCCAAGCCCTATACCTTAAACCCTAAACCCTCAACCCTAAACCCACATGAGCCTGGAAAGCCTGGGCGGGGCGCGGAAGCCCTGCCAGGTCTGAGTGCAGCATCCGCGACGTGGAGGGTAGAATTGCCTCTGGAGGCAGAGAGACTTTAGGATGCTTTAGGGTGTAGGTTTTAGGGTTTAGGGTTTTAGGGTTTAGGGTTTAGGGTGCTTGTCTAGGGTTTAGGGTTTTAGAGTTTAGGGTTTTAGGGTTTAGGGCTTCTGAGGCTTTAGGGGCTTAGGGTTCCTGGAGGGTTTAAGGGGGTTTTGGAATTTTAGAGAGGTTTAGAGGGCTTTAGGCTTTAGGAGTTTAGAGGGTTTTAGGGGGGTGTTAAGGTTTTTGGTAAGGTCTCAAGTTTCAAAATTATTCAGGGTTTCGGGGTCAGGGGTGGAGGGTTGAGGCTTTGCTGTTGAGGGTTGTCAGGGCGTCTGTTTCCCCTCCTGCTCAGCTGGGCTTGGGGCTGAGGGGTTTAGGGTTCACTTGAGGATACTTCAAGCGTTTTTGCTTTGGGCATGTTGCGCCTGCTGTTGTGCAACCTTGCTCTTCTCGTAAAAAAGTAAATATACGCAATTGTCTCATAACGCTCTACTGGTTACTCGAGCGAACCCTAAACTCGATACATTCTGGAGGATCAGGATAGGGGGGCTGAGCCGAGGCTCTCGCAAGGGTCTTCACAGTTGCGGCAAAAATCTGTGAAGGCTCGGGGTTCAGGGTATAGGGTGCTGGCTTGCGTCCTGAACCTTCAGCCAGCATGAAGTTTCCCGCTACTTGGATTTAGCATGTAATTATCATGCTTTAGGCTCGTGCGCGTTTCGACTGAGAGGGGGAGATGATAAACCATCCTCTGGCTGCGGGAAATCTGCCGGGCCTTCTCCACGTACCACCAACGGTCCAACCTGACTGAGCAGGGTCGTTTGAAACGGGTTTAGGGTGCAGGGTTTAGGGTTTAGGGTCATTCGAACCCAAAAGCCGAATCCAATAGGCTTCAAACTCTCACATGCGCACACACGAAGCAGGCAGGGCATCGGAAGCAAGAGGCTTAGGGCTTACTTAGGGTTGAGGGTTGAGGGCTTCGTGAGTCCCGGGCTTGAGATTTGGCTAAACATTTCACTTACGCTCAGGTAACACAAGCATCGACATCATATTAACTCCTACTCAGTCCGACTCCTACCTGAGTAGCAATGTTTAATATAAGAAATTAAGAAATACGCCCAGCAACCCACACGGTCACTTCTCTAAAATGTGGCTCCTTTTGGAGTCCTTACTGTAAGGCGGGCCCGCTTATGTAGGATACCCAGCAGAGGGCCCTAATTTAGCCAAGGACCCCACATGTTACCCAGAGAAATGGACAAACTGGGGCTTAGAGAGTTCAGAGGGCATACCTGGAACACCCAATTACCTGCAGTTTTATGGGTGATACCTACCTTAGGGGCAATTACTACTAAACTGTAGGCAATTGGGGTTACAGGTAAACACGTGCCTTTAAACCCTAAACCCTAAACCCTAAACCCTAAACCGGGGTTATAAGATTTCTAGGACTTAGGGGTGGCTCTTCTCGGCAACTTGCGCACCTCGGGGGCGACTCTCCGTCAGCGCCGGCCTGGCAATTCACAACATTTCCTTTGGCGGGCTGGCCGTTTCTCGAGTTTAGGGTTCGTAGCCCTAAACCCTATAAACCCTAAACCCTAAACCGGGCCCCCCCCGAAGGAACCCTTAGTCTGAGTCCACTCAGTCCTCATGCTCGAAGACAACAGGCCACTCACAATTCGCATGTGTCATGTCCCTGACCTCTGAGAATCTGCGGCCACATATGCTGCTTTTCAGCTGCAAGCGATCTGCAATCTTCAAAACACGGCAGTTCCGGCCGACATGGCTTGCGAGACACTTGCTGCAAACTGCATGTCGCACTTCTTCAGTCTGCAGACCGCTGCAGGCTCCGCCAGGAGTAGCAGTAGCAGTTCCCGCTATCAATTCTGTACCTAGGACCCAGGGGCGCGCGCGCGCCCGCGCGCGCGGGCCACCTTCTCACTCACCTCCTCCATCAACATGCCACCCTCGAGGTTGCTTGATACGGGTCCATTACTAACTACTACGAACCCTAGGGTCGGAAGACTTACTAAACTTATTCCCTTATATTCCCTCTTTAATCATACGTTAAGAACCCCCCCAAAGCCCTGTTCTACTTACTGAGGCCCCCTATGTTATACACCGGGCGGTCGGAGGCTGCAGAAGGGTGAAGATTGCGCAGCGGCTGATTAGCGCGCAGAATGACAGCTCGGGCCTTCAGGGGCCCAAGAATTGCAAGGTGGCCGTGGAGTCCAAGCATACCAGGGTTTAGGGTTTAGGGCTAGGGTTTAGGGTTTAGGGTTCAGGGTTTAGGGTTTAGGGCTAGGGTTTAGGAGCCCCTGGGCACCCAAACAGAAGGCTCGACGTCGAAGCCGGCGTCACCGCAGCAGCTTGCGGGGGGCTGATGCCTGTCGCGCATCTGCTGGCCTGTCAGGAGCACGGAGAACGGCAAGGTGCCCAGAGACTCAAATGCAATATCTCCGATTTAAGCCGTGCAGCGCCGGCTCTATTTAAGAAAACATTGGTTAAGAAAAAGCAGGCTCTGGATGTCCGAGATTCAGGAGTTTCTAGGACTCACATCAGTGGACGTTGGAAATTGAGCGCCTGTACCTGGAAGCATTGCTATTCGGTTGTTGTACGGTCGAAAGGTTTGGGAAACACGTGCGTCCAAGTGAAGCCCTGTGCCTTGCAACGAACGCATTGCGAGATGCTTCTTTGCCACGCGAAGCACACACACAGAGACAGAGACAGAGACGGAGACAGAGACAAAGACAGAGATGGAGACAGACACAGAGACACACACACACACACACACGCACACACACACACACAACACACACACACAACACACACACACACACAACACACACACAACACACACACACACACACACACAACACACACACACACAACACACACACACACACAACACACACACACACACACAACACACACACACACACAACACACACACACACACACACACACCACTGCGCATCTTCAAAATGCATGTTGCAAGGTATTGGGGTTTTTCGTTTCTTTTCCACATGCTCGCCTGTGCCCCGTTGGGTTATGAAAAGCGCGGAAACAAAACCGTGATCAACCGCAAATTTCGAGCAGGAAGTTGAGAAAGTCGGAAAGTTTCTTAACCAACGATCGCACTGTACTCCCTAAGTGTAAGGAGCATTTCTTATTTCAAGTGATGTTGAAGTCGCTATGCCGAAACCGATCTTAGAAGAGTCGATGAGTACAGGAAAACCCTTTTGCCCTAAAACCCTTAACCCTTTTGGGCAACGGACTTTGGCGGCCCGGAACGAGATCAGCCCTCACCTCTGTTTAGGGTTTAGGGTTTAGGGTTTAGGGTTTAGGGTTTAGGGTTTAGGGTTTAGGGTTTAGGGTTTAGGGTTTAGGGTTCGGTGGTGCCAAGTCGCCCTGACTCCGAGAGCCAGAAGTCCATGGCAGAGGCAAAAAACTGTTCGCGCACCATGTGTCCTGCCGAAGGTACTCTCGTAGGGTATGGTACATGGTCCTTAGTATGGGCCCTTAAAGGGTACCCCCTTAAAAACCCCTTAGATACCCCATACGAGTTTTTGGGCCCATACATCAGAACCCTTGAGAGGTAAGGGACCGTATTAAGGGCCCATGCAAGTACGCGTAGATCCTCTCAGCTTGTAGTGGGAAGGCTTAGGGTGGCGTTTGGGGTTGCTCGGCACTGTGGGTGCTAAGCAACGTGTGTGTGTGTGGAAGAACCAGTAGCACCACCAGAGCTGATCTTCATGACAAGGAGGGACTTGGGCTTCAAACTAGCCCTTCAAGGGTTCAGGGTTGAAAGGTTTTGGGCAGTCCTGCATCCGGAACCATGGAGAATTCGACTGAGTACCTCCGTGCTGCGAGAGTGGACAACGGCGAAACTGGGCGTCCCCAACCCTTTAACCTTAAGATCCTAAACGTTCGGGGTTGGCGTACCTCCTTTTATGGTATCCGCCGCAAGTGCTCCATCGCTTGAACCCCCGAACCCTGGAAACCCTACAAAGACCGAGCAGCTAGAGCATCAATGAAGCTGCACAACACCCTTGCTCAAGCCAAACCCCGGAACCTTCTTGCAACAGGCTGAATACCTGAACTTACACATCCCATCCTAAACCCGACCTTCAAAGTTAGCGCTCTCTCGGCAGGGTACCCCGCTGCCCGCAGCCGTGCACAAAGCGGCCGCGCGACCGCCTACCCAGACCAGGCACGTGTTTTTATGTTCCTTAACGGCAGCCTGGAAAGCATGCAAATTTGCCCAGGACACTCAAGGGCGTTCGGGCTACATCCAAACTAGCGATTCCGCTGACATTCAGGTCGCGCTACATTCGAATGCGAGAGTTCGCTGAAAAATCCTTCCGTATGACCGTCCATCTAACTGGGTTTATTAGTTCATGGTCTAGAGCATGCGAGTGCTTGGTGGGCATGTGCGTGCAGCACGAAGCTGCATCAAGCCTGGACAAGGCGGAAGCATACCCAAATCTGGGCTTGCATCAACAGCCAGAACGCAGGCACAAGTCTTAACCCCCCCCCCAACCCTAAGCCCCTACATCCTCAAACCTCTGCAGCCAAAAAAAACCCAAAAACCTGAGCCCCTATAGGCCCTGAGCCCTTTTGCAACTGGCCTGCAACAACTCCGCCAAGAGCCCCAAAGGCCGATAATTCTACAACCCCAGAAATCCTAAAAGCACCTCTAAACCTTAAACCCTAGGGTTTAGGGTTTAGGGTTTAGGGTTTAGGGTTTAGGGTTTAGGGTTTAGGGTTTAGGGTTTTAAACCCCATGCACTTGCTTGCCCCATAAACCTGAACTCTTTTATACCCCAAGCCCTGAACCCTGCCCGAACACCCGGAACCCCAAAATCCGAAACTCTGAACCCAGATATCCAAAGCCCCGAACCCGTTTTTTGCGCCTGAGCCCCCAAACCCTTTTTTTCAACCCAGGCTCCTCTCCTGTCAGCTGGCGCCATAAACCCTAAGCCCTGTAAGACCCTGAACCCCAGACAGTTGGGCCTCTGGGGTGAAGAGCCGGTCTTTGGCGCCGTACTCCAGGAATATCTGGTCAGTTCTCAAAACTCGGGTCCCATTTTTTGGGGGGGGTACCCTAAATTTTTTGGGGGCCGCCTTATCATGAAAGGACCCCGAAGCCCGAAACCCTAAACCCCAAACCCTAAACCCCAATTTAGAGAACTCACAATCCGGGTGGCAGAATGGGAGCCGGGGCTTGTGATTTTAGGTTCGGGCGTTTTAGGGCTTAGGGCAAGCTTGGGGTTCTCAGTGTCTTGTTTTGGGGGGCATGGTTTAGGGTTATAGGGTTATAGGGCTGTAGGGCTATAGGGTTATAGGGTTTTAGGGTTTAGGGCTTAGGGATTAGGGTTTAGGGTTATAGGGTTATAGGGTTTAGGGTTTAGGGTTTTCGCTGCGAGTGCGCTTCGACCCCCTCCATGAAGTGGTTGGGGGTCGGCGCATGAGCTGCAACGCCCGCCCTCCCACCCAAAATACAAACCTTGGACGGGTTTAGGGTTGTCTACCCCCCTACCCCCCTATCAAGGGGGGATATATGGTTTGGTAGAGCAGAACCCCCAAAATGAGCAACCGTCAGCAGTCTCGACTCGTTTCCACTCGGCAGCTCTTCGAAACCTTTTCAAGGCTGGACGTTTAGCCCTTTCAGGATTGGCTGCGGCAAAAGCGGCAGGCTCGACTCGATTCCACTCCGTGGTCCCTGGAAGACTTTCAAGCCCTTCAGGATTGGCGACGGCAAAAGCAGCAGGCTCGACTCGATTCCACTCCGTGGTCTTAGCAAACTTTCAAAGCATGTTCAAACCCTTAAGTTAAGCCTCCGGGCCTGTGTTTCTAAAGTCCCAAACCCTTAATTTAAGCCTCCGGGCCTTAATTTGAGGTTCCCCAACCCTTGAGATGGTTTTAGGATCTCAAGCCCTTAATTTAAGCATCCGGGCCTTAAACGTGGGTTCCCAAACCCTTAATTTAAGCTTCCGACCCTTCATTTAGGTTCCCAAGCCCTTGAAAAAAGCCTCCGGGCCTTAATTTTAAATTCCGGGCCTTAATTTTAAATTCCCAAACCCTGAATTTAAGCTTCCGGGCCTGACTTTTAAGTTCCCAAACCCTTAATTTAAGCCTCCGGACCTTTATTTTAAGGTCCCAAACCCTTAATTTAAGCCTCCGGGCCCTAATTTTAGGTTCCCAAACCCCTTATTTTAGGCCTCCAGGCCTAATTTTCTCAGGTTCCCAAACCTTTTATTTAAGCCTCCGGGCCTTAAACGTGGGTTCCCAAACCCTGAATTTAAGCCTCCGACCCTTCATTTTAAGTTCCAAAACCCTTAATTCAAGCCTCCGGGCCTTAATTTTAGATTCCCAAACTCGCAATTTCAGCCTCCGGGCTTTAATTCTAGGTTCCTAACCCTTAATCCAAAACCCTTAATTTAAGCTTCCGGGCGTTAATTTTAGGTTCCCAAACCCATAATTTAAGTCTCCGAGCTTAAAAAGGTAGGTTCCCAAATCCACAAATTAGGCCTCCTGGCTTAATTTAAGCCTCCGGGCCTTAATTTTAAGTTCCCAAGCCCGTAATTTAAGCCGCTGGGCCTTCATTCTAGGTTCCCAAATCCTTAATTTCAGCCTCCGGGCCTTAATTTTAGGTTCCCAAACCCTTAATTTAAGCCTCCGGGCCTTAATTTTAAGTTCCCAAACCCTTAATTTAAGCCTCCGGGCCTTAATTTTAGGTTCCCAAACCCTTAATTTAAGCCTCCAAGCCTTAATTTTCGGTTCCCAAACCCTTAATTTAAAGCCTTTTCGGGCCTTGAAGGTAGGGCTTAAAGGTGGGCTCCCAAACCCTGAATTGAAGCCCCCGGGCCTTAATTTTAGGTTCCCAAACCCTTAATTTAAGCCTCCGGGCCTTAATTTGAGGCTCCCAAACTCTTGATTTAAGCTTCCGGGCCTTAGGAGGTTTTCAAGCCTGCCCGGTCGTTTGGCGCTGGGTTTAGGGTTATTATTATATAGGCTGACAGAAGCGGCCTATTCGAGCGCCGCGTGGACCTAAGGTCCAGGACCCTACGGCTCGCCTTTCGGCCTTCGCCTACGGGTCCGCAGGCCCCTGCCGGTGGCCTGCTAACGACCGGCCCCTATCGCTGGAAAGGGGGCCGGTCTTCAGTTTAGGGTTTCGGGTTTAGGGTTTAGGGGGGGGAGGGGGGGTGGGGGGCTGGTGGTTCCGGAAGGTTTTTTTGCATGCAGGCGCCGAAGCGCCACTCCACGCAGGGACTTACGGGATGCTCCACAAGTAGGTCACCGCCTGTATATGATTAGGGTTTAGGGTTTAGGGTTTAGGGTTTAGGGTTCAGGGTTTAGGGTTTAGGTGGACACCTGAGCTGTGGCCTTGATTCCTGGAAGAGGTATTCTTATGAAAGAACGAGCCCTTCCGCGAGCCGATTTCGTGCGGTTTTGGGACCTTGCTTCTGCGAGTTCTTAGGCTGTACTGGAAGGTGTAAGCTCGAAAATAGTGTTGGGTGGCCCCAAGACCAGCTCGACGAAACCCACCCTGCACCCTGAACCCTGGTGACCAAACCCTAAACCCTAAACCCTAAACCCTGGAACCCTGAAGCCCTGAAGCACTTTCCTTCAAGTGCCAAGGGGCACGTGGCTTCTCACGAGCATCCCGTGCGTCGACAAAGAAGCCGACAGCCTGCACAAGCCTGGGGAAGCACTGAAACAGCATGGGGTGGGGGGTGGTGAGTTGGGGTAAGGGGGCTGGGTGTGGGGGGTTGGGGATTGAAACCTTCTCACTAAGTTCCCCCGGTCGGTGCAAGGATTCAGGGTTGAAGGGTCAAAGGCTTACAGGTTGAAGTCTTGGAGACTTGAGTACTGAACAGTGTGCTGAAGTCGTCTCAGGGCTCCAGGCCGCTGTCCTGCAGAACTTCTTTGAACAGAATGTTGTCTCCGGTTTTGTTGCAATGCTTGGTGGGCTTGTGCTATCGTCGCCCAAGGCACGCAGTGCGCAACAAGGAAGGGTTCCGAAGCGCCTCAGTACAGATAGGGGCCTTAGTATATAGGACAGGGCTTTGGGGTGAATATAGTATACTTACAAAGGAGTACTCTTAATATTTTTTCTGGTTCCTATAGTACGAGTATGTGACTCGCAATCAGGATCCGTTATTGGGCACGTCTAAACCCATTCCTCGGGGCTCGGTTCTCAGGCCAGGGTCGCCTTAAATACCCCGGTCAATGATTCCTGTTCAAATGTCCCTGCAAGGGATGCTCAGACTAGCAGCTGGCTTGGGGCAGGCTTCGGTGCAATGCGGTATGTATTGACGGTCTGATTTTGGGTTTTCAAGTTTATGCAGGACCTTGCTTGTGCATACAAGCATGGGACACCTCGCTTCCCCCAGCGCACGCAGCATGCAGGGGTGAGTGCGTCGCTTCCACTGAGTTGGACGACAAGCATGAAAGGTTTCTGCTTGTCCACCATCATGTCAAGATGTCATTCGGTGTCAGCTGGGTTCGACGAAATACCGAGCATGCTAGCGTCGCGCTAGGGGTTGACTTCGTGCGAGCGCGCTGCCGGTCATCCGAACTCTGGTTGAACCAAACCCTTTTCAAACTGGACTCCCACATGGGGGACGTACATCTGACTGCAGTTACTTCAGATCGTCCTCGTCTGTTATGCGTTCGTGTGAGCCGAACTCGCCACTGCTCAACTCCAGACTTCCAAATAGAATGCATATCAGCCTCTCACACAACATGAGATGGATGAACGATGACAAAATATCAGACACCACGAAAGACTGTGAGAATCCGATACTCGTCCCTAAGCCCAAAAACCCTGAAAAACAACTCTGCTGGCATCGGACAGGCCGCCACATTACGCCGAAGTATACGGTGCTTGCAAACCATTACGCCTCCAGTCCCCCCAAAATAGACACCCAAATAGTAGGATTCCCTTATTAATCAGGACCCCAAATAAGGTACCCCTATTTTGGAAACCCCATATGCTACGCCATCAACCGCTTCAGCTTGCATCTAACAACGCCCCGGCGCCATCGACAGCCCCAGCGAGCCACCGTCAGACATGCCCATCACAGCGATGCTGCTGTCGTCAATGGGCACATGGCGGCCTGGGCACCACTGTCCATGCTACATCTCGCCTGTCTGAAGTTCATGGCAGTTTCATTTGTGCCCAGGATAAGGCTGTACCATAAGGCAATGGTTTGCAAAATCCGAACTAAGCTATCTATGTATACATACATATATATATATATATTATATTTTAATTTATTTATTTATGTACATATATACAGATAAATATATATATATATATCTATCTATCTATCTCTCTCTCCCGGAATCGGGGTTTAGGGTAAGCATGCCAATGCCCCAGACTTGGGATGTTCCCCCCTTTTTCTGACAGTCCTTGATAGAGATTCCCTAAACCCAAAACCCTAAACCCTAAACCCCTTCATCTGAACCCTAATCCTTCAACCCTCTGTTGGGAGCAGTCGCTGGAGAGCTAAACCCTAAACCCTAAACCCTAAACCCTAAACCCTAAACCCTAAACCCTAAACCCTAAACGCTAAACCCTAAACCCTAAACCCTAAACCCTAAACCCTAAACCCTAAACCCAACCCTAAACCCTAAACCCCCTCGAATCAGCCGGGTCGCGGACCTCATTGATGGCCAACTCCATGAAGTCCATGTCCTTTAGGGTTTAGGGTTTAGGGTTTGGGTTTAGGGTTTAGGGTTTAGGGTTTAGGGTTTAGGGTTTAGGGTTTAGGGTTTAGGGTTTAGGGTTTAGGGTTTAGGGTTTAGGGTTTAGGGTTTCGGGTCTAGGGTTCAGGGTTTGGGGTGTTGATTTAGGTTGTTCAGGCTTTGGGGTTCTCAGGGTTTAGAATATCTTTTGCCGCCCGTCTGGCTGAACGGTTTAGGGTGCATCTGCAACAAGCAACTATATTCTACAGGGCTTTTACGGCTGAAAGGTGCAGGGTATGCTGTACTATGGGGTTGGCGTCCATCGCGCTTCAACATCCAGAAGGGGCCCTATGTGAATCAACCCACAAACCCCTCACTACCGGGCGCAGCGGCCTGTCACATGCCAAGCAAAAGCCGCGGCGGCGTTCTAGATGAGATCTCCTTCCGGAGGTCCTTATACGATATAGTTAGAGTGCAAGTACCGGGGGAGAGGGGGTGGGGGGGGGGGGGTCCTGAAATATTTCTGAGCACCAACCCCAACTCGCTCTTGTCCTGTCGTTGGCCCGTGAGCAGGTAGTCCCAGGTCGGCCCTCGGGACTCTGGAACGAGGATGGCGACCCCGTAGTGCTTGGCATCTTGCTGCCATCGCTCCTTGCTTGGGTCTAGGGCTTAGGTTGTGGTTTAGGGTATATGGTTTAAGGTTTTTAGGTTGAATCTGTTGTTTTTCTGTTTCTTCCCCCACTCGCTGTCTCACTCGTTTGGGCGTCTCGCCCTCGCTCTTGCTTTGCTGCTTTGAGTAGACTATTCATGTGGGTCATGTATGTGTTTTAGAAAATGGTTTTGATTATACATTTATACCATATGTATATAACTACAACTAAATAAATATTAACAACACATAAATAGATCATTTAAAAACCAGTAAATAAAATACATATATATATATATATATATGCACGTGCTTATTTGTTTATCTACTTACGTGATGTTTCTTATCTTCTTTGCAGTGCTTCCTTCGTCACATCTATGGAGTTGAAGGGCAACGGTTCCATTTGGGTTTGAGGGATATAGGGTTTATGGGGCGTTCTAGGGCTTATAAGGTTTATGGAGCTTATGGGGTTTGCAGGGTTTGTAGGGCTTCTAGGGTTTATAGAAGTTTATAGGGTTCAGGGTTTTGGCTGCAGGCCGCTCCCAGAAACCTTCTATTGCAACGCCGAAGAACAAAGATCTGTGTTTAGGCAGGGCTTGCAGGGCTTCGGGCAGCTGTTGTGCCTTGTGTTTTTGCCTCGAACCCATGACCTGAAACACCCCACTACCCTCCCAAACGCCCAAAACCCCAGATCCTCAACCCAAACACCCGAACTCAAATGTCTCAACATCTGAGCCCGTTCGGACCTCTTTTCAGGGACTCCAAAATTGCGGGTTGGGTGTAACCCCTAACGCGGAAACCCCGAACCATGGATTAACCCAAAAAACCGACTTACAGATTTGCCCTAAACCCTAAACCCTGAAGCCTGAAACCCTTTTGAACCTGGAAGCTGCTTCATGCCAGGACTGAGGGCCGCGCCAGTCACTAGTCACCAGAGACCAGCACACCCGCAAAGCCTGAAACCCTAAACCTTATACCCTAAACCCTAAACCCCAAACCCTAAACCCCAGACCCTAAACCCCAAACCCCACACCGCCACCTCCTTGATTATTCCAGGGGGCCGTAAAGGAGAGGAAGTTCCAGTCCATGGGCCTCCCAAGATGTGAGGTTTAGGGTTTAGGGTTTAGGGTTTAGGGTTTAGGGTTTAGGGTTTAGGGTTTAGGGTTTAGGGTTTAGGGTTTAGGGTTTAGGGTTTAGGGCTTAGGGTTTAGGGTTTAGGGCTTGGGGTCTGGGGTCTGGGGTTTGGGGTTTAGGGCTATAGGGCTGAGGGTGGGATGGAGTTTTTATATTAGCGAAAGGACATGTCGGGAGGGATGACATAAAAATTGGGCCAACTTCTATACGAAATTCTCTATCAGAAGGAGACCAGAAGGGACCATCACTCAGCTCAACTTCCCATGTCTGTCTGCAGCAGAGGGAGAGAATCTCAACCACGGCAAGCACCGAGGACGTATCCATGTCCCAAGTATTTAAAACACCCACAAAAAGGACTTGGCATTGCAACCTAAACCCTAAACCCTAAACCCTAAACCCTAAACCCCTAAAGCAGTCCATCTAGAGGCTCAGGTTTCTTAGGCGGAGGGGAGTCTCAGGTTCGCTTCCGGACCTCCAGCAACGGGCGTCACCCCAAATCAGAAATTTTCAGCCCCTAAAAATCCCATTCGTATCAACTCTAAACGATCTTCAACCCCTAAACCCTATGAACCCTCTCAACCCTGGGCCTGGATCCGTGGAGAACCAGAAGCAGCGGCAGGCGGCCCGTGACCACATCCGGCAGCCACACGTGCCTGGGTTCGCACAGCTCTTCCCACCATGGATGGGAGCAACTAGGGTTAAAGGCATCAGGGCTTACGGGAGTAGGGTTTAGGGTTTAGGGTTCCTTTTGAGCTTTGCGGTTGAGATTCAGATCGAGAGAGCTCGAAATCTTGCAAAGGGACCCATGGCTGAGCTAGCGGCCTCACTCCCGTTGGTTGTACCTTTCAGATTCAAAAAGTGTACGAGCCCTCTTGTGTCGCCACACATGTAGCAGGTCGCACGAGACATGATCAAGCCTACCTACCAGTAGCATAAAACACAAAGATAAACATGTATAACAGTGTACATCATAATTAGAGTATAATCACATGTAATAATATATGTATATACATGGGGGGTCAAGGTATCTACTTCTCATATTCCCTACTAAGCACCAGTAAGTTTAAAAGTCCACGCGGTCCGCGCACTGCAGGACTCCTAAGGATGTACCCCTAAGAGGTTCCCTTAATGTACCCCCACTATGGGTTTAGGGCTTAGGGTTTAGGGTTTAGGGTCCCTTAGAACATCTTAAAAAGATCCCAACCCACGGGTACAACCTCAGGGGTCCAAGGTAGAGACCCTCAACCCTTTTGCTGCAGGTCTCCTGGAGTAGCTTGCAAGTGCTTCAGGTGGTCCCTAAACCCTAAAATCCCTAAACTCAGGGCCTAGAACGCCCCCCTGCGTTGGGGGGCGGCGCTTAAGCCCTTCGACCTCGACGGCACAAGCCGACCCAGGTCGGTCGCTCGCCTCCCACAGCATGGGGGTCGGTTGCGCCCACGATGGGCCCGGTACGGGAACACGTTGTCCTAGTAAGGGGTACCCCCCGGATCCCCCCGGGCCCCTAGGCCAGGAGGACCCGGACAGCAGCAGGCAAGGGCAATCTAACAACGTCGTCAAGAATCCTTCTCTGTCTTCTCGAGCACAATGTCCTCCTGCAACTTCTCCGCCTCGCGCTCGAGCTCCTGACAGTGACAAAACGCACACAAAAGCAGCAAACCAAGGCCTGGTCCTCCACGTTCTTGGCATTGGCCGCCTGCAGTACAGCTGCAGGGTCTGCAGCGGTGAGACACTGCGGGACGGATGACATGCTGTCCTTTTTTGCTTCCAAGAGCAGCTGCAGGTCGTCAGCAGACAAGTTCTTGGCTGCCTGACAGACGACTGACAGGATCGCAGCGTCGCAATCGACGGACACAAGCTGAATTTTTGTTGGGCGCCTTGAGGAGCCGGTTCTTCTTCCTGATAGCATTCTTCTCATTCTTGGCGGCTTCTTTCACAGCTTTCTTTGCTGCTAACCTTTTCTTTTTCAAGTCCTCTAGCTGGTCGCAGAGGAGTGCCTCACCCGCACGCTCTCACCCGCACGCAAGCGAAGTGAAACATTTGCTCTCCTATACACCTCGGAGCGCACAGCACCACACCTCCACTTCCGCATTCTTGGCGCGCTTTTTTGGCGCCATTGCCTGGCACTGGCACCGCAACTCTGCGAACCCTTGCACATGCGCAGACACGCGTGGCACTCACGCGCGCGCACCTCAGCGCAGGTTTTTCAACAGATTTATGGAAGGTATGTTTGAGCCAGGTCTTGAAGCACGCAGCCAGACGCGCAGGCATCAGTATACGGCTAGCTGCATCTCCGGCCATGGATACGCTAAAAGGAATAGGTTTGGGTGGCTTTGCCGCCTTGGACGGCGTGGGGTGGGAGAAAAGTGTTAGATGGCCCTCCACAATCGGTCACGAAGCTTTCGAGCTTGTTCCGAAACCTAACCTTCACAGCATCTACGCCCTATCACAGCAAACCCTAAACTCTAAACCCTAAACCCCCAAAAGGTAGAGTGCCATGACACACAGACAGGCCAAGAGGCGCTTGCTGGCCCGACTGCTCCACGCGGAAGCTTCCTTTTTGGGGGCAGCTTCTCTGCAAACAGTTACCTTCAATAGACCCTAAACCTTAAACCCAAAACCCTCAATGAGGGTTTTGGGTTGAGGGTTTAGGGTCTATTGAAGGTAACTGTTTAACCCTAAAACCCTGAAACCCTGGACCCTGGACCCTGAACCCTACCCGTGGGGTGTAGGGTCTTTTGCCGTTTTGGACCCAGAGTCTTTCTGTCAGCTGGCAGAACCGCTGTTAGGGTCTCCTAAGCCCCAAACCCTATGCTCTCTAACGTGCGCTTTGTCAACTTGTGTGTTGGCTTGTAGGTCGAGTGTCCCAGACACGAGGGATTCAGGGCTCAAGCCCGTCCCCCCCAAATGGGAGTTTCCGAAACTAGGGGTACCTTCTTGGGGCCCTTATTAAGAGGGAAACCTACTATTCTTGGGGACTATATTAGGGGTAAACCCCCAGATGGGAGTGAGTTGTCGCTGCCCATCTGAATCGGCTCTAAACCTGGACAAGAGATTCTGTCGCCTCCCGGTGAAGCTGCGAAACACAAAATCAAAAGTCCGCTGCGCGATCCGGTTCGTGAAATGGCCAAGCATGCTGGACAGAATGGACAGAAACCCCTTACTATACCCAAAACCCTAAACCCTAAACCCTTAGCCGTAAACCCTAAACCCCAAACCCTAAACCCTTAGCCCTAAACCCTAAACCCTAAACCCTTAGCCCTGAACGTACATCCGAGCTTCTCTGCGCCAGCTCGGTCGGCCGTGCCGCCGGCGTCAGCGCCACATGGAGCAACTCCTGGGCTGAGATGGTGGCTTCCGAAGATAGGGTTTAGGGTTTAGGGTTTAGGGTTTAGGGTTTAGGGTTTAGGGTTAAGGGTTAAGGGTTAAGGGTTTAGGGTTTAGGGTTTAGGGTTTAGGGTTTAGGGTTAAGGGTTAAGGGTTAAGGGTTAAGGGTTAAGGGTTAAGGGTTTAGGGTTTAGGGTTTAGGGTCTAGTGTAGTTGCATGGTGCCTCCTTTTTGGGGGGTTTAGGGTTTTTTGGGCTTGACCTGTAGCCCAAGAAACCTACTTTTTTTGCTTCTAGGGGTTCTCTGGGCAACAGGTAGGGTTTAGTTTTTTATGGTTTTGGGTTTAAGGTTCGATTTGTGCAGCTTTTGCCCAGCGCCGAAAGCAGGGTTTAGGGTTTAGGGTTTAGGGTTTAGGGTGAAGGGTGAGAAGGGTTCGTAGAGTCTACGGCGTTTACGCGGGGCTCAAGCTTTGGTTGAAAAAGGGCGGTAGACAAGGATTTCACTTTTCCTACTTGTATCAAGTAGCTATAACTGTTCTAATCTCTCCTTTAGGGTACTTACAACCCTAAACCCTAAACCCTAAACCCTAAACCCTAAACCCTAAACCCTAAACCCTAAACCCTAAACCCTAAACCCTAAACCCTAAACCCTAAACCTACCCATGAACCTTCAAGTCCCCTTTTTGGGAGCACTAACCAGTCAAGGTAAGCACGTGCGCGCTTCTGCCAGTCAAGTTGCTTCCTGGTGAGCCGCGATGGCGGCCTCTTGGGACAAGCGCTGCAGGTTTCAAGCGCACGTTCCTATCGGAACCTGATGGAGGCATACAGATGCCTTTATTTAAGGCATAATATAACGGTACCCAAATCTTCCTTAGTAAGAGAGGTGAGACTGCCTGAGACCAACTTCAGTCCCAAAACTGGCGGCAAATGGCTTGATGGGCATCCGTTTTCTCGAACATCTGGGCTCCTATCTCACCACCTGGACTATCCTGGACTCCGACAATCCCTGGAAGAACTCTCTCTCCCTGTTTCTATCCTCCTGTTTTCTTCCTCTCGTTGTCTCGTTGTCCCGTTATCTTTCTCCCTGTGTGTCTCTGTGTCTCTGTGTCTCCGTGTCTTTCTTTCGTTAGTTCGGTCTTTCCTTGTATACTTCACTTCTTTTTTCTCTCTCGCGCTCCCCGCTCTCACTTTCTCCCTGTCTAACAGGCCTCCACGCCACCCTGGGACTCCCGAGCATCACCGTGCCAGCCGTACCGGGTGTCGACCACAAACTCCGCGAGCGGCGCCCACCCTTTGAAGGCTTGGGAGGGATGCGAAGTCTAAGGGCTTTAACCTAAACCCCTACATTGTTGAACCCTAAACCCGAAATCCCAAACCTCTTCTGGCTTTGGGGCTGAGAGGCTTCGGGTTGGGGTTTAGGGTTTAGGGCTTGGGGCTTAGCGCTACATTTACAAGGTTGTGGCGTTGCGGCTCTGCTTCGGACCGCGGCACCAAAGTCGCTCAACGCGCAGCCTCAGCCCTCGACTCACTGCCCCCCCCCCCCCCCCCCCCCCCCCCCCCCCCCCCCCCCCCCCCCCTTCGCCCCCCCAACCCCAGGGGTTTCGGGTGCATCAGTCCCAAAATCTAAACCCCCGAGACCCCGAAGAAGTCCCCAAGCAACGGCGCGGCAAAACGGGCAGATCGGGGGATTGCCCGGCCTTTGCCACCATGGGCGAAGTGAAGCTCAACCCAGCCACCTCAGCTCAGGAGCTTCGGTGCAAGTTCGGGGGTTGAAGGGTTCATGCAAGGGACTTGCTAATCGGAATAGGGCTTTGGGGGGTCATTAGAGTATACTTATACAGGGACAGGCTTAGGATGTTTAGGGGGAATTGGGGGGCTTAAAGGGTGCCTAATGAGGGTTTAGGGCTTAGGCTTAGGGCCTGTAGGGTCCAGGGTTCTGAGGACTGAAGTGCGAGCGAACATTGCGACTCGCGCGCGCACACACACACGTGCACGCACAAACGGTATGATGTCTCGATCATGCAGCCCTAAAATCCTGTTTTGTATCCAAGACTCTCATCCCGAGACCAGTAGGCCCAGACTCGTTTAAACCCAAACCCTTTCGGCCCCAAACCCTTTCAACGCCAAACCCTTAACCCTGTAAAGCCCAAAGCCTAAACCCTCTGTCAACCCTGCAAACCCCAAATCCTGAACCCCAAACACTAAACCCCAAACCCCAAACCCTAAACCCTAAACCCAAACCCTAAGGGTCGCAGGACGACTCCAGTTCAAACCCCGAAGTCCCCCGAAGCCTGTGAAGATCAGCTCCCGGCCCTGCTGTCGCCCGGAGGTCACGACCAGCGCGCCTTTTTTGGAGAGGATGTTGGTTGGTGGCGGCGTTTCGAGGATAGGGTTTGGGGTTTAGGGTTTGGGGAGGATCTCAGAGGGAGGGTTTAGTTCAGGGTTTAGGCTTGGGGTTTTTGGCTTATAGTTTAGGGGTTTAGGGTGTCGGGTTTTTCCAAGATCTTTTCATGGAAGTTCTACTGTAAGCTACCCAAAACGTGCATGCTCATTCACCAGGCAACTCAACCCCAACCCCATTTGGGTCATTTGGGTAGCTCTCTAAGTTAGTAGGGTGCCCTTCTGCAGTCCTTATTTTCCGGGTGAGCAGTGGCGAAAACCCTTTGAACTTTTCATTCGACTATGGAAGGGTTCTCGCGGGCTCTGACGCGGCCTGCTGCAGGCCGCATCGCGCGCTGACGCGCACGTGCTTTTTGGGGTTGCACTGACGCGGACTATCGCGGGAAGCCAACACAAGACCCCAAACCTTCAGAATAGCCTGAACCCTAATATACCGACAAGACCTGCAGTCAGAGACATGTTTTACAACCAACACCTACCCTGTCGCGCGCTATCGCGCGCTCTCGTAACCAGAGCTCTCGCAGAAACTATCGCGCACTGGCGCGCCTCGGACTTTAGCTGACGCGGGCCAATCAAAGGCGAACCCTCAATCTAATTCTTTCATGGAAGGTTTTTGGCGCCGCTCGGGTGCACGGTATGTAGGACCCAAAGAAAGGGACCCCTAATTCAGAGAACTGCTGTACCCTTTTGCAACCTTGTGGGCCCCAAGCCCTAAACCCTAAACCCTATACACCCTTTTTTGCAACCCCCAAACCCTAAACCCTAAACCCGGAAACCCCAACCCTTACTAAACCCCTAAGCCCCGAGGCCCCAGACTTAACCCTCGAAATCCGACGCCTGGCAGTTGCACCACCCAGGGCAGGCCTTCAGCTGACCTGTCGTGTCTCCAGCCCCCCTTTCTTGCCCCAAACGCCTAAACTCTACCTAGGGTGTAGGGTCTTTGGGGTGTAGGGTTCCCGCCCCCCCCCCCCCCCCCCCCCTGTTTGCCCTAAACCCCAAACCCTGCTTCGGTGTAGGGTACTTAGGGTACTTAGGGTACTCAGGGTACTTGGGGTAGTTGGGGTACTTGGGGTAGTTGGGGTACTTAGGGTACTTAGGGCACTGGGTACTTGGGGTACTTGGGGTAGTTGGGCTTTAGGGCTACTTGGAGGTTTAATGGTATTTTTAAGGGGTCTATAAGTGCCTTTAAGTGCCTTAAAATTGAGGTGTCAAAACCCTAAACCTAACCCCCCCCCCCCCCCCCCCCCCCCCCCCCCCGTCGGGTGTTTGGGGGTTCCAGCTAGGAAGACCCTCGGCCCTGAACTCTCATGTTCTTGCTGCGCCCGAGCAAGGAGGGACTGCGCTCCCGAACTATAAGCCTTCTTTCTGGGCTAAGTGTGGGAAGAATAAGGGAAACCCGCCTGAGAACACCTCCCCACGTGCATTATGTCTGGGTGATGGTTCGGCTGCTGTAAACTCAACACCCTCAACCTCTGAACCCTCAAGCCCTAAGATTTTAGTTTTGTTTGCCACCCGCCAAGCACACAAGCCACTCTGCAGGGTTTAGGGTTTAGGGTTTAGGGTTTAGGGTTTAGGGCTAAACCCCCAACCTCACACCCTGAACCCTGGTTTTCTCCCAGGCTGCTCGGAGGGCGCGCTCCGGATCTGCACGCGCCGGGCAGCCACGCGGAGCGCCCGCGGCAGCTGGCCAGTGGAAGGGCCTTGGGTTCTAAGGGGGTTTAGGGTTTAGGGTTTAGGGTTTTAGGGTTTTAGGGTTTTAGGGTTTTAGGGTTTTAGGGTTTTAGGGTTTAGGGTTTAGGGTTTAGGGTTTAGGGTTTAGGGTTTAGGGTTTAGGGTTTAGGGTTTAGGGTTTAGGGTTTAGGGTTTCTTGAAGGTGCATGGGTAGCTACCAGTAGTGCTATAAGTCAGGTAACCGATGTTTTAACCTTAACTAAGGTACTCAATAACCACTAACCCTACTACTTATAACGACCCATGAACCTTCAAGTTGGGTTTTGTTGCCACCTGCCCCACAAAAAGTTCCGGTTTGGGGCAAAGGGGAGATGCCTTTTTCTCTCTCTCTCTCTCTCTCTCTCTCTCTCTCTCTCTCCCAGGCACTATGGGGGACATGCCTGAACCCCTGAACCGGCCCTTGTTCAACTCACAATGCCCCAACTGCTCAACTCATCTGGGTTTGGGTCTGTAGGCTTGTTACTTGTGGCTTCTGGCGCCTGAGGTCCTGGCAAGCGGTGGGAACCAAAGGACTGGACCCTCTGAGCGTGCCAGCCTTCGTTGCCCAGGCCCCAAGACTCGTCCACTTGAAGGTTCATGAGTAGTTAGAAGTAATATGGGTTAGAAGTACCTTGATTTGAGGTTGTAGTATAGATTACCCCACTTATACCCCACGTCTAACTACCCATGAACCTTCAAGCAAGCATGGCTAGCTTGGGTCAATTGCATACTAGCCCTGGCTCGGCGGTCGTTCCCTGTGTCTGCCTCCACCTTCACCCCAGACGCCCCAACCCTCAGGGTTTAGGGTTTAAGTAAGCCCTAAACCCTGACCCTAAACCCTAAACCGGCCCTAAACCCTAAACCCCAAACCCCAAACCCTAAGCCCTACAAAAACCTTCAAGGCGCAAAAAGGAGCCCCCAGACGGCCCCCAGAACCCCCAGAACCATCCAGCCAGCTGCAAGCCAGGCGGCTCGCGGGATCCTAGGCGCCACCGGCATGCTGGCGCCCGGGCCGAGGGACAAGGCGCCAGGGCCATAGCTGGCTCCAGGCCCATAGGTGGCTCCAGGTCGGGGATACCCCGAAACGGTGTAGGGCCTGGTCTCCGGCCTCATGTGGGTGCCGAGGCATGGCCTGCAGCTACTTTGGCTGCTGCGAGAGATGTGGCCCCTTGCTTGAGCCACACCGAAAGCTGCCACACACGCACCACCACCGGGTACTCCACGAGCTGCTGCAGAAGAAAGCTCGGCTGTGAGATACGTGGTCTCACCTTCTACACCATGTGATATCAATGGGACCCTTCCTCTTAAGTCACACGTGCCTCTCGAAGAAAATTTCAACATCTTAAAAACTAGGGAAATGTTTTGCATGAAGCCTCGCCTCTGCCAGTGCCGCGGGAGGCACACAGCGGTCGACCAGACGAGCACCTCAAAAAGTGGTGGGGTTAGGACTTAGAGCTGGACGACCTCAACATTCCGCCTCGCGCATACCTAGCAGCTTGCTTGACGCTGACCATATGCTTGCGCAATGCTGCGCAAGCCTGGCCCAACAAAATCTTCCCGCGGGAAGCTGTACAAACAAAAGTCCGTTGAGGATTGTCGGCGATGCGGTCACCCTACAAATCCTACCCCCCATCCCCCCCCCCCCCCCCCCCCCCAAATTAGCCCCATCAGACCGCACAAAACCTTTTCAACCCCCCCAACAAAAACCCTACAAACCCCACAAGGCCCTGCAAACCCTAAGCCAACTTCGAGCCCGGCATCCGGCCTACGGGGCCCAGGGCAACCGCGAAGGACACGCGCTCGCCGTACTCGGGGGCGGCCTCGAATTCCAATCGACAATCTGGAATTGTTCTATGAACCCTTGGGATGTTTGCATTTCAAAAAAACAGCGGACTTCCCAAGGCGGCCTCAGCAAGCCTAGATCCGAAATCCTTGAGTTCTTTTTGCAACCGGCTTCGCCCTAAACCCTATAAACTCTCAAGGATTCTTTAGGTGCCCCAGCCCTTAAGGAATGAGGGACTTAGGTACCTTACTTGAAAGTTCATGGGTAGTTCTAAGCCGGGTTTAGGGTTTAGGGTCTAAGGTTTAGGAAGGTTTATGGGTAGTGAGAAAGTAGGGTTAATGTACGAGATCCCCTCATTCCCTAGTAGGTTTCGGGAATATTGCAACCCGTCCAGCAGACAAGCCACACTGCTGCAGGGTAAGGTTTAGTTTAGGATTTAGGGTTAGGGTTATAGGGTTTGGGGTCAAGACTGGCTCCATTGTTGGAATCCCTCTAAGAGGAAACATGAAGTAGAACCCTTGTGTTTTTGGAAGCTCCCTGATGCGAAGAGGGCATGCAAGCGGGGTCTAGAGGTCGGAATTTCGGGTGTTTCGTGCCCAGAGTGGTACCATGGGGGCTCTCTCCCTAAAAAGTTTCAGCTCTGAAAGAACCCGAAGCATCCCTAAACCCTAAACCCTAAACCCTAAACCCTAAACCTACCAACAAAAACCTCCAACCTCCCAAGACAAACGCACTCTGGGGGGCGCCACAGACTCCCCTTCTGCAGCGATGCGGCTCTTTGCAGCAACTGCCTCAGGGCTTCATAAGGGGGGTTTGCGAAAATAAGGGGCCCCTTATATAGACCCCCCAAATAGTAGGATTCCCTTAGAATATGGACCCCAATGAGGTACCCGAAATTTTGGAAACACCCAAGGGTTGAAGGTGGGGGCTGCTTTTCGGTAGGTTTTTTTTGCTTTACTCGGCGCTATCTCTGAGTCTGAGCAGCTGAGCGCGAAGGGTTTGGGGTTTGGGGGGTTCTAGGGTTTCGGGTTTAAGGCATGGGGCACATGATTCTCAGGATCAGGGTTTGGGATTGGAGGTGTGCAGCTTGCCGCGTGTTCTTGCAAGCAGCGAACTTTTTTTGCATCCCGCCGCGACAAAACCTTTGCATTGTGAAAAGCCTGGCTTGCGGGCTTATGGTACCTAGTCCTCCCCCTTAGAACGATAATAACGCAAACAATTCCAACACATGCCCTCTGAGCTTTATGTAAACAAAAATGCGACAAAGTCCTATGGAAACTAAAGAATCTAGGGGTTTAGGGTTGTTCACGAGTTCTCTTGACCAAGCTAGCATCATCCCTCACGGCAAGTCTCACTGCCTCAAGACGTTGGGACTGTTCTAGAATTCGGCTTGCCTTACGGAGCTTTCTCTAAAGTGGACTTCGCTCAAAAAAAGCGCCCACAAAAAGGGACCCTCATCTAGCAACAAGCCCCAAATGTCTCCCCAAGACTCTTCGCACCCTAGACCCAAAACCCAAAACACCTCCATGCACTGCCTGTGGGGGAAGGGTGGCGCTGCCGCCGTCCTCCGCCTCTCAGCCGGTCTTTGCACATAAAGGACAGTTCTTGTAAGCAGTGTACTTGAAGGTTCAAGGGTAGTGATAAGTAGGGTTGGAAGTAAGGTGACCTAAATACTAACGTTAAGCATGGTACTTATGACCCTACGTCTAACTAAACCCATGAACTTTCAAGCAGGGTTTCGACTATGCCTCGTGGCTCTTATGTGGAACTGCCGAACCTGAAACTCTTCTAGATTGCACGGCAACAGGAGTGTGAGGCTCACCGGACTTTCTGTTAAGAAGCTTTAACATAGGTGACATAGCGTGGGTACTACATGTTGGATAAGGAAGTTTATGATCAGATCTGGGTACGGTGAGTAGTTGTTGAGTTGACATAGCAAGGGCACACGATGCTCGCTTCAGTACAATGCCGTGGGCCGCAGCCCAGTTTAGCATGAGCCCCTAAACCCACCTTCTTCTCTACTTTAGGGTTTAGGGTTTTGCACGCCCAATTTTTGAACCCAGACTCGAAACATCAGCTGGGACCGCCGAGCCCTCACCACTAAGCCGGCGCTGGGGGATGCCAAACCCTTGGCTTTTCAAGGTTCCTTGCCTTCGGGTAGTACATGGTCCCTCATTATGGGCCCTGAAACCCTTACATTGGGGAGCCCTTACAACACCCTGTGTATACCCTGCAAACCCCAATAGGTCCACTTAGAACCCTTTAAAGAAGGTGAGGGGCCGCATGAAAGGTACCATGCAACTTCCCTTTGTCCTTCGATAGCGTCCTAACGAATGAACCAAGGCATGCAGCCCGGGAGGACGAGCAAAGACAGACACCTTCTTTCGCATCAGCTTTGGCTGCATTGCTATCCTCAAAACCCCGTCTATGTGACCTTCTGGCCGGCGGAGCGGGTGCGGGGGAGGGGGTGGACCCAACATCACCTACGAGTCCGGAAATTCGGAAAGGTTCTTCGGGTTCTCAAGACTTCTGGGCCTCATGGGTTTTAGAGCTTTGTCGGTGGGGGAGGGGGGGGAGGTGGTTTCGGGGTAGGTCGGGGCGGGCGGAAAAGCCCGTTGCCGCTGCTCTAAAGCCCGAAACCTCAACTCTGCAACGTGAACCTTGATCCCTCCAGTAACCTACGCCCTACTTGAAGATTCAGTTAGAAGCAGATGGCCTTGATTCCATTAAGGTACTGATAATTTACAAGCCCACTCGTAAATACCCCTGAACCTTCAAGTAGCCCTTCGCTGACGCGCCTCGGCCCGGTACGTCCCAAGCCGCGCTTCGCGGAAGAAGGAAAGGTCAGTCCTTAGGCTGGGCATGGCCAAGTAAGTTCTAAGTAGAGTTTAAGGGTTCCAGGGCTCTAGGGGTTCTAGGGCTACTCTAGGGTTATGAGCCAGGTGGTCTGCAATACAGGCTAACTGCCGGTTCGGTGTAGTGCAAAGTAGGGTTCTGAGCAAGGCAATCTGTAGTGCAGGCTACCTGAAGGTGCGTCAAGGCCCAAACTACCCAGGAACCTCCCTAAACCCTAAATCCTAAACCCTCAACCGACGGTCAGAAGCCGGAGCATGCAAGGGAATTGTGGCTCAGCTCCTCACAGTGTGTGCCTTCCATCGTAGCTGCCTCCGTCTTGCCGGTGCTTCAGGAAAACAAGGAGACATGGAGCCTTACAACTCGGTTTAGGGTTTAGGGTTTCGGTTTTAGGGTTTTAGGTTTTGGGGTTTAGGGTCCCATGCTACCAAGAGAAGCTCCCAGAGTAGTCGCACCTCTCTTCCGGATGACATTGCCCGGTCCCTGGACAACCTTCCGAAATTTCAGGGGGAAGCCCTGATCTTAACGGTTTAGGGTTTAGGGTGCATTGGACCACTTCCAGCCAACGGAAAGCACCTCCTCAATTCTTCTGCCCAAGATACCGTTAAGACTTAATAGCTCCGCTGGGCAAAGGAGCACCCTGAACCCTAACCCCGCAACCCATTTTTCACAAGGGCCTCGACTGCTCAAACCCTGCATTAAACCCTTCATTCGTCCTTCGGCTGCGGTTCGTGGAGGCCGCCGGCCTTTGAGCAGGTCTGCCGCATGGTCCACGAAGACACGCTTTGCGGCTGACAGGTCCTCCAAACACCAAGCTTGAGAACCCACCAAGCCTACTTTCTAGGGTTTAGGGTTTAGGGTCTTAAGAATCATCAAAGCCTACTTTTTGGGGTTTCGGGTTTAGGGTCTTAAGAACCCACAAAGCCTACTTTTTGGGGTTGAGGGTTTAGGTGTTTTTGAGGGGTTTGCATTCGGGTGTACTTGAAGGTTCATGGGTAGTTAGTGTGGTACTTGGGGTACAAGGACCTTAATTGAGGATACGTAACAAAGGTTACCTTACTTATGACCCTACTTTTACCAGGGAGAGTCCCTGAGTCCCTTCTGAGAGGTACCTAGGCAGTGAGATAGGGTTTAGGGTCGACCCCCCCCCCCCCCCCACCCTCCCAAGAAAAAAGCAAGTTCACGCTGAAGGGCTACAACTGAAGCATCCACGTTCACCCAATGGGGTGCAAACAGCCGTGGATGTCTGGGTCGAAAGAGCAGGCAAAGCAGGGTTCAAGAGTTGAAGGGGGTAGTTGTGGAAGGATTTTGTTGGGACGCGGCCGCGATGCACCTCATGAGCCTAAACCCCCACATCACACATAACCCTGAACGCCGGAAACCCTAAACGCCCCAAACCCAAGTAGCACTCCCGACTCTCTGAAGGCTTCAGCTTCTGCGGTCCATTCCTTGGTTCGGAAGAACTCAGTCAGGATCTCATGCTGCACCTCATCTTCCACTCTGGCCGCTGCGGTATGGGCGTGTTTCTTGCCACACTGCAGGGGCATTCTGAGGCATGATTGGCAGGGAGTTGAGGGAACTGCGCTTCAAGACTTTTGGATTTTAGGGTTTCCAAGCCGTCCAGTGAGCAAACATATGTCCAAAGCTCGAGTCGATTTCAGGATGGGTGCTCCCGCTGGCCAGAATACAGGAGCCTCAATAATTCCGCAAAAGTTTTTGTTTTGACGCAATTGATACAAAGCTACCCAAGATACCCTCTGAAAGTAAATAGGCCGGTAACTAAATAGCATATTGAACCCGGAACCCCATGGGCTTCGTCGAAGGGCTTAAACGGGGGGGGGGGGGGAGCTGGTTGCAGGGTTGGTTTGGAGATCAGGCTTCCTGGGACCTCAGACCCGGGTTTTCGGCTCTCACACTCGTGCCAGGCAGGAAAGGATTCTGTTCGAAGGTCCGTCCACTAGAAATCGTCAGGATTCCCACGTCAACAAGGGCACTGCAACAAACAATGCTCACATCAGACCCGGGTTTTAGGGTTGAGGGCTTATATAGGACATACATGCGTGCGTGACGGTCGTGGATCGCTCTCTGAACAATAGTCCCAAAGTAATTCACTACCTGAACGTATGGGCCCGTGTTCCCCAATAAGCCAGACGCCCTAAACCCTAAGCCCTAAACAGAAGGGGCATCACTTGGACCGCGGCGTTGCTGGCCAAACGGCACTGGTCCCGCCCTTAGTGGGCGCACAGCGCAGCTCGGTCCAGGGTTTAGGGTTTAGGGTTTTCGGCAGTTTTGCAGTAAGCTTTGGGGGTTGAGGGTTGAGGGCTTTGGGTAAGCCCCACATGAAAGAACATGATCATTGCTGTTGCACAAGCCACATGTGAGGACCGAGATAGATATGCATGAGATTGTGGGTCAAAGTCCCGGCGAATACGCAAGCTCTCAACACCCAGCAGCCCAAAACCTGAAGCCACATAGGCCTGTTAAGCCTATTTTCAATCGCACAACCTGGTATGGATGGATACTTTTCAACCTATCCCGAAATCAGACATGTGGAAGCACGGCTGAAAAATGAGGTCTGCGGCTCCTTACAACGTGTGAACACAGCACAGAATTTTCGCATGGGTGTCTGTTTTTCGGCCAGCGCTGTCGACTGTCCTGGCTGATCAACTGCTTTATAGAGTGGAGATGCGGGTTTGGCAAATGTGTGCTCCGCCCGTCTTTATAAGGAAGGCCCCTGTCCTGCACTCCAAGCCGGGACTAGGGTGACTGGGATGCCAACACACGTCTCAAACTTCGCTTGATCGTGCGAGCTTCCTTAATTGGATCACACTGCGTGCATTGCACAGCTGGGGACTCGCCTTCGACGGATTTCACAGCCGGTCCATGAAACATGCCGCCGTGCTCTGCCCAGTAGAAGCACGGGCTCAGCAGAGCCCAGAACATCACGTAGCCCGCGTGCACCTGGAACGGCAAGAGCGGGTCCTCGATCGGGCGGTAGAATCCGAATCCTGCGATCACTGCACCCAAGTTGCCCAAAGCGGAAACTCACGATGCCATAGCTCGTCCCTTCGGCCATCTGCACGAACAGGCTGAAGCACAGCAGCACTGCGAGCGCCCCGTACCATGGCTGGGAGTTGTCCATTAGTTCGAAGCAAAACAGGAAGATAGCCTCGAAGAAGAGGGACAGGAACTGCGCCCAGATGGGGCCACGGAAGCCGAAGTTCTTGAAGAGCAGGCCGCTAGTGATTCCGCCGAGGGAGCGGGACCGAAGGAGCCCGCCAAGGCAGAAGCGTCCGCGGCTGCCATCTGGAAATACGTTCGGACATGCGTTGCCAGCTGGTTGTTCATGGCGAGTTCTGCCCCAAAGCAGGCCGAGTACTGAAAGATCATGACCACTACACGAAAGTCCTTGAGAACGACCAAGTAGTCCATCATGGATGGCTTCTGGGGTTTCCCTTTGACGGACACGTCGAGCACAGCAGCTTGATGCATGCTGCACAGATCAGGAACATCACCGCCGGCACGACCATAGCAACCCGCCAGGCCGTATCCGGGACGACACCAGACTCGACCATTGGGTTGAAAAGGACCGACATCATGAAGATTTGTGTCACACCACCCCCGAGGTTGCCCCAGCCAGCAGCTGTGGCATTCACCGTGCCAATTACGTTCGGAGCGAACATCATGGGAGCACCAGAACTGGTTCGTGACGAACGTCGCCCCGGCGCAGCCAATAAAGAAGCGAATCAGCGTGTAGTTCCACGGAGCACTGATGCCAGCAGCTGCAGCAACCCAGATGGCCCCGAACGTCAGCAGCCCCGACTGAACGTTCACCGGCCCAAAGCGCTCCAGCAGCGTGCCTAGGGCGATCCGCACGAAGATCGTGGATGCCGGCGACCATGCTATCGCATTCGGTGCCCGGCGTGCAGACACACTTCACCAGCACCTCTGGCCTGTACTTTGTCACTCCTGTTGCCAGCTCCGCCACGGTCGGGCTCACGCAGTCCGTGGGGTTGCCATCACCGTCCTTCTCCTGGCCCTTGGCGCAGTAGGTTCGCGAACTTCAGGCACGCCTTCCTCGTCGGGCTCGTGGCAGGGGGACACAGCTGGTTCTCGCACATGTTCATGCTGGTCGCCACCTCTAGGCTCAATGGAGTCAAAGCGAACCAACCAAGAAAGGCAAGGAAGAGGGAGATTGTCGATGCCCAGAAAGCGCGCATGTGCGGATTCTGCTGCACCGTTCCGCAGACCCGGAGCAGTGGCAGCTCCGTGGGTTTGTTGTTCTCGTCGGTCGCCAACTTGAAGTCAGACATCTCCGCAGGGTTTCACCGGCTGGGAGGGTCACCGTCGCACTTTGTGTGAGCCAATCTTGAGCCACAGCCACGGGTGTCCCTAGGCCCTAAACCCTAAACCCTATACAATGCCACGAATGCATGGCACGGCCATGCATTAACTGGGCACCTCGCGAATGGCCTCCAGCCCCTTCGCCTCGCAGAGGGTTTGGGGTGTAGGGTTGCGATTCTCACGTTTAGGGTTTTGCGTCTAGGGCCGTTTTTTGCCACCCGCCTAGTCAAGGGTTTAGGGTTTATAGGGTTTAAGGTTTAGGGCCGGGTGTTGAATACCTTGGGACCATGGGCGGGGACGGCATAACTTGTTGTTGGCCACCCGGCTATGCTGGCTTCGACACGTCTAGGGTTTCGTCGGCGGTCATGGAAAACTCTCCGTGCTGAGCCCACACTCCCTCGACCAATCCCCACATGACTGTGCAGAGGCCACTCCAAATCCTAAGGCCCCAAACCCCAAAACCCTCTCTGAACCCAGACTTTGCTTCAGGGTATAAGTTGGGATGTTCCCCCTGAAACAAGGTAGAAGCTAGGCCCGCAACCGACTAATCTAAGCGCTCAACCCTAAACCCTAAACTCGAAACCCTAAACCCTCAAACCCTAAACCCTAAACCCTAAACCCTAAACCCTCAGCACTCTTCGCCTCAAAGCTGCCGACCCCCCCCTCAGAGGGAGGCTTGGCCTGGTCTGGACATGGGGTTTAGGGTTTAGGGTTTAGGGTTTAGGTTTCGGCTCTCGCACTCGCACAAGGCCGGCAAGGATTCGGTCGGAGGGCTTAGGTTTAGGGTTTAGCGCTTAGGGTTTCGGTCTTGTGTACAGGGACCATTTTTGGGGGGTCCCTCTAAGGGGATTTGTTGTATTTGGGGGTATTAAAGGAGGTACCCTTATTTGGGAAATACCCGCATGGAGAGGGGAGATAGGGTGCATTGGGTTGGATACCGGGGTTTCTATTTTCATGCGGACAATTTGTTCTGGTTTTAGTGTTTATGCTGGGCGTCTTTTTGTTGTTTCTCATGCAGGACCCTTCTCCCGAAGCCTCCAACCACAAATTGAGACCTGGGTATTCCCCCTAAACCCTAAACCCTAAACCCCAGAATCCGAGGCACCCGGCATAGGCCAAGCCCCCGTAGCGCTTCTTTGTCAAGCAAAGGCATGGCATGTACACCTGCTGAGGGTTAGGGTTTAAGGTCTAAGGTGTAAGGGTTCAGGGTTAAGGGGTTAAGGGTTAAGGGTTTAGGGTTTAGGGTAGGTCCTTACTACCAAAGTGTCCGACTGGCGTGAAGCTAGCAGGCACCCGAATTGCAGGGCCTTCTCGAACTCCAGCTCCACTGGGTGAGGATGCTTCGCCGAAACCTGGTTCAGACAGGTTTAGGGTTTCGGGTTTCGGGTTTAGGGTCTAGGGTCTAGGGTCTAGGGTTTTGGGTTTAGGAATGCCAAACTTGAACGCATCCAGAACTAGCTTCTGCATTAACCTGGTAAACGTTTTCAAGCTATGCTTGACAGTTGAGTCCACTCGGCAGTGAGGCCTTTCTAGCCCCAATAAGAAGCCCCGACAAGAATCGAAGCAGCATCCTGCTTAAGCCCTACGCACCATGCACCCCGTAAACCCAAGAATTGCACCTTAACCTCAACCCTAAGCCCTAAAGCCTCTACGACTTAAACACGCAACCCTTAACCCTCTCTCTACACACCTTAAACCCCCAAGTCGGCCTATAAGCCTGAATGCCCAAACCCGACCGACCCCCCCCCCTCCCGGAAAAACCTATCCCAAATAAAGAAGTGTAGACCCTAAACCCTAAAACCCTAAACCCTAAAACCCTAAAACCCTAAAACCCTAAAACCCTAAAACCCTAAAACCCTAAAACCCTAAAACCCTAAAACCCTAAAACCCTAAACCCTAAACCCCCTCCGCCTGGGAGCAGATGTCTCTGCCGGCTTTGAAGGCCTCCTCCAACGAGTACCCCCTGAGCTGGACCTTGCTTCGGTTTAGGGTTTAGGGTTTAGGGTTTAGGGTTTAGGGTTTAGGGTTTAGGGTTTAGGGTTTAGGGTTTAGGGTTTAGGGTTTAGGATTTAGGGTTTAGGGTTTAGGGTTTAGGGCGGGTCTTTAGGGAAAAAGGTGCAAGGCTCAAGGACTCAGACCTAAGCCTCAGCTGCAACTTTGGGGATCCAAACCCCTTTTTGCAACCGGCCCTCCGCTTCTCGACACTACGGTTTAGGGTTTAGGGTTTAGGGTTTAGGGCTTAGGGTTCTAGGGGCCGTCCGAAGGTTCCTGCTGTTGCGGAGTGCTTGGGGGGCGGGGGTTCCACATGCTCGTCGTCTGAAACGGTGAGTGCCGAGGCTTCTGTTTCGCGTCCTACTGGAGTTCGGTATAGGATGCAGAGCTGAGACATAAACCCGAAACCCTCAACAGCCTGAGCCTCCCCTTAGTTGTCCAGTACCTAGGGGTTTTAAAGGTTAACCTTTGGGATTATAAGGGGAATATATTACCCCAAAAAGGTTAAAGGTTACCTACTCTACTACTAAGTCCCTAAGACCCCCCCTAAACCCTAAACCCTAAACCCTAAACCCTAAACCCTAAACCCTAAACCCTAAACCCTAAACCCCCCCACAGAAGTGATGGGCCCAGTGCAAAGACGGAGTCGGTGTCGCCATAGATGACCTTGGCCCCTGGCCAAGTTGCCTGGGAAAGTGGAAGGGTTTAGGGTTCAGGGTTCGGGGTTCAGGGTTCAGGGTTCAGGGTTTAGGGTTTAGGGTTTAGGGGAGTTCCCTGCTGCACAGCGGACTTTGAGGATCCACGCATGTCACCCTCAATTCCCTCATGCTCCACCTGCTTTCATATATTTAAAGCAGGGTGTATATTTCTTGTACCACCAAAAGGACACCCAGTATATACACTCACCAATGCTAAAGAGGAACCTTATATACACTCACCAAGAACAGTAATATAAACCCTACTTCATATAAGCCCAACCCCCCCCCCCCCCCCCCGGGCCCCCAGGGAACAGTCGAAGCTCATTTTTGTCTCTCTTAAGGCTGTGGTGTGATTTTGAGCAGGGACTTGAGCCAACCCTCTTCGCGCTTTGCGACTGCACCCCAAAGCTCCTGCAATCAGATCCCTCAACCTCAACCCTGAACCCTCAGTCATGCTTCCCCCCCCCGACTCCACCAGCGAGCCCACACACTAAAACCCCAAACCCCAAACCCCAAACCCCAAACCCTAAACCCTAAAATCATTGTAGCCCTGTAGGTTGGTTCCATGCCCTGTGGGCTTCTGCCAGTCCATGCAACCTCCCAACCTACAAGGACGCAACGCCCGATACCACAAGAACATGCCTTCAAAGGAGAGTTGCCGAAGAAATCCGGAACCTGCCTCCCCCTTCCCTCCCCCTAAAGGCCTCGATAAAGTTCGCTGCCTTGCGCGTCCGGGGGTTTCTTTGAAGCAGTACTGATGTGAAGTAGGGTTTATATTCCTTGTACTGTGGACTCGAGGTTGTGAATGATGTGAAGGTGAGACAGGGTTTATATTCCTTGTATCCCCAAAAGGACACCCAATATCTACACTCACCACTGTCAAAAAGGAACCTTATATACACTCACCAATAACAGTAATACAAACCCTGCTTCATGTACGGGTTTAGGGTGTAGGGTTAGGGTTTAGGGTTTAGGGTTTGGGGTTTAGGGTTGAGGGTTTAGGGTTTAGGGTTTAGCTCAGGACTCCGGAGGATCAGGGGTGCCAAAAAAGGTTACAGGTCCTATCAAGCCTGCAGCCCGACAGACTCTGAAAACCCTATGAACCCGACAAACCTTTAAAAGCCCTTTCAAGCCCTTTTAAAGCCATTTCAAAGGCTTTTAAAGCCTTTTAAAGCACCCGTTCAAGTGCCCTGAACCTGTAAAGCCCTTGAAAACCCTTTAAAACCTTTTGAAGCCCCTTTTGAAGACCCTTGAAAGCCCTTACTTTTTCCCGGGCCTCCTCCAAGGCACGCCGGCCCGTGGCCACGATGGAGTCCGCGATCTCTGAACAAGGCCTCAGTTCCCCAAGCTCCACGTCATACACATCTCTATATATACATGCATGCATGCATGCATGCATACATACATACATACATACATATGCATACATACATTTGTATATATATATACACATATGTACATAAAACATAAGCTATGTATAAGTGTACTATATATCTATGTGTATGTATACATATATATATATATATATGACGGTGAACATGAACTATGTATATAAATGTACTATATATCTATGTGTGTATACACACATACATACACACACATATACTTATATATATATATACACATATGATAGTCCAGGGTTGGTACCTTCCCCCCCACCTTCCTTCCCTTCCCAGTCGCGGATGCCCCTCCCCGCTGAAGGTTTAGTCCCCGCTGCCCGGAAGTTGGGTTTAGAACCCCCGCACCCCCCCCCCCCCGCCCGGGGTGTGGTGCTGGGCTTTTGGGTTCTAAGGCTTAGGATGTCATGAGGGCTTGACGCTTGCAATTATAGGGTTTCTCGGCACAGGGCTTAGGGCTTGCGAGCCACACAGCAAGGCTGTAACAAAGTGGAACGCGAAGAAGATACGAGATGGTACGAGACTCCAACAGCGACGACAGTTGCGACGATGCAGCATACTGTGTGATTACACACCTGCTTAACTAGTCATCGTGCCGGCCCTTGAAAATGATCTAGGCGAGAAGCTGGTCTTCGTGCATCAAGAGGCCGTTGCAAATCACTTTAACGTCATGAGTGGGCCTCTTACAAACGATGCAGGGCTAATAAAAGCCTCTTATAAGACTCTGATAAAAGGAAACTATACACACAAAACCCCGAAACCCAAACCTGTCCTAGTCCTAGACTAAAGTCATGGAGCATTCCAGCTACCGAACCGGGGACTTACTTGGAGGTTCATGGATAAGGGTAGCTAAAGTAGGGTTTAGGGTTTAGGGTAGCTATAAGTAGGGTTGTGACTACCTTCTTAAGGTAAGTATATGTTGCCTTACTTGTAACCCTACAAGCGGCTACCCATGAACCTTCAAGTAGTCAGTATATAGGTACAAAGCCGCAGTTGCCCTAGAAGGGACCCTAGCTGGGAAAACCCTCCTTCATAAGCCTACTTAAAAACTATTAAGCGAGTTTTCAGCAAACACCAAGGCCAGTGCATGCGGCCGCTGAACGATGCCGAGGAATAGCCATAGGTCCTTTGACAGAGGGCCCAAGAATCCAGGAAGTAGGGTTTAGGGTGTAGGGTGTAGGGTTTAGGGTTTAGGGTTGCAGAAGGACCTCCGTAAACTGCAACAACCCTAAACCCCAAGCAGCGACGCTGCATATACAGTTCCAGGATACAATGAGCTAATGTTGCCTCCGGTTCAGTATGGTTTCCCACTATTCTGCGAAGTCTGAAAAAACGATTCAGGGACCCCCCATGGACAAGGTTACCCGGAATAACCCTTTTGCAACAGGCTTGCCACTTCGCCCGGAGTTGGTGCCACCCGGAATAACCCTAAACCCTAAACCCTAAACCCTAAACCCTAAACCCGACCCTAAGCCCTACACCCTAAACCCTACCCCTTTTGGAGGGGAGCCCTTCAGCTTCAAGGCCTGGAGCTTCAGGGGCCTGAGCTCAAGGCCGGGAGCCCCTGGCCTTTGGGGTTTAGGGTTTACAGGGTTACAGGGTTACAGGGTTCAGGGTTTAGGGTTTAGGGTTTAGGGTTTAGGGTTTAGGGTTGAGGGTTTAGGGTTTAGGGTTTAGGGCAACCCGGAACCCCCTAACCCTTTTCAGCAACGGACTTTGGAGGCTTTGTTCCCCCTAACCCTAAACCCTAAACCCTAAACCCGAAATTTCCTCATGAAGCTGGGCGGGGCTGGGGGGCCCCGACACGTTGGCGAAGTACTTGAGAGCAAACTGCTTGTGCTCCAGGCGCTTGGCCTTCAGCTTAGGGGACTCAAACTTGGTCTCTTGGTGGGTCATGTGAGGGTTTAGGGTTTAGGGTTCAGGGTTTAAGGTTCAGTCTCGGAACGTCTGCTCTTGGCTAAGTATCCCCGCGGCGGTACGTGGTGTAGCTGCGTCTGTGCCCGAAACCTCAAGGCGCCCTCCCAACTTCGGGTTTAGGGCTTAGGGCTTAGGGTTTAGGATTAAGGGTTTAGGATTAAGGGTTTAGGGCTTAGGGCTTAGGGTTTAGGCTTCAGGGTTCAGGGCTTAGGGTGCTTCGGAGCTGCCAGAACCGGGTCTCCGACTGCGGCAGCTGAGGTGGAGCTCTGCTTGGCCAGGCGCTTGGTCTCAGCCCGCAGCTGCAGGACCTCCCAGGTCCCATGGGGTGGCCATTCGAGGTTGGCCCTTACAACCCTTTCAAACATGTAGTGTATATATAAAAAATATATACACCCATTTATTTACTGAACTTGTCAGTACATATATGTATATATCTATATATATATATATTCAATACTCACTTCACCACTAGCCCAGGGCAACAAAAAGGTTAAACTTTAATGTTCCTACTAAATCAGGAAACCCAAAAAGTTTAAATTCAGCTTACGGCGAAGTAAGCTTATACTGTATACCGACACGAGCATGTCACCACTGAGATATTCAATTCTTAGCGCATGGAAAAGTTTGAAACCTGAAAACTCACGTAGGGCGGATACTCTAAACAGTATCGAACCCTTCCAGAGCCTGCGGTTTTCTAAGAGGTTTCTTGTTCATATATGTAAGGGAACTCCAAGATTTTAAGAGTATCCATCCCCAACATCGTCTGCATGGCTCCTGCACATGAAGAGCCCTCCTACCAATGTCAACCCTGTCAAGCTCAAAGCCGTGAAGAACACCTTCGTCACAGCCACACACTCAAGCCTACCCAAGTTAAGAAAACCATGGAAACAAGAACTAACCCTAAACCCTAAACCCTTAAGCTCAAGGAAACCTTCGGGCTCCGAGGCCCCTTTGGGAACCGCATGCTGCATCCTTCGGGTTTAGGGTTTAGGGTTTAGGGTTTAGGGGTTTAGGGTTTAGGGTTTAGGGTTTAGGGTTTAGGGTTTAGGGTTTAGGGTTTAGGGTTTAGGGTTTAGGTTTAGGGGTTTAGGGTTTAGGTTTAGGGTTTAGGGTTATCTTGCGAGGACGAAAAAGGGTGTGTCACTGACCGCAAGCGGCGGCACCCTCGCCTCCTCGGCTTTGACACCGGGTCTTAGTTGTAGGGTTTCGGGTTTCGGGTTTGGGGTTTAAGGATGTTTAAGGTTTAGGGTTTAGGGTTTAGGGTTTAAGGTTTAGGGTTTAGGGTGTCATGTGCACAGTCGCTTCCGCAGCCTTTGCAGACCACTGGCTTTCATCACTCTACGGTGGCGAGATGAACCCGCCTCCGCCAACATCAGGGGCAGCAGACCCCGCCGCAGCTCTGGGCCTCGAGTTTGGGGTTTAGGGTTTAGGGTTTAGGGTTTAGGGTTTAGGGTTTGCGGCTTAGGGTTTAGGGTTTAGGGTTGCAATCTGGTTTTGGGTGCCCAAGATAGCATCGACTGCTGCAAAGGAATTCGGGCTTCGGGGGCCTAAGCTCTAGACTCTAAACCCTCTGTAGAAGGCAACTTGCAAAGTACTCCGAGGCGCAGGGGACTTTCGCACGCCCGGGTTCATAGAGACGGCTGCTGAGGAGGAGTCCGATCGATCCCATGCAGCCTGTAGCCACTCACTCATACTTCAGAGTGATGTGAAACGGTCCTTACCGTCAGGACCAACCCCGATGGAAGACAGGCGCGCTACTTGCCATTACCGCAAAACGTATGCTGCAAAATCTCAAACACTCGCTGAGGCATATCAGGCATATCATGGCATAGTCCCCCTGACTTCCGAAACCCTCTGACCAGAGCACGTGCTGGCTACTGGTTGTAATGCCCTAGTGGCCCTGGTGCGCAGGATCTCAGCAGACAGCCTTTGCCAACATCTCGTCGATCTGCTTCAGCATGAAGCGTCCATGCTCGCGAAGGTTGACAGGATGAGCTGCCGTGCAGGAAACGTTGGTCCGCTGCTCGCCGTTGTAGTTGTCGGGCTTCGCACGTAGCTGCACCTGCATGATCTGCGCGTAGTTGCAGCTCTTGAGCTTGGCCTCTACCGCCTCACGCCCTTCGTTCTTCTCGATGTCGGCAACCTCCTGCGCTGTCATTCCAAGAACTTTTTCAGCGGCCTGGTGGAACGTGGTGACCCAAAAGTTGCCAGTCGCATCCTCAAAGCGGCAGCGTAGATTGAGGCGAGGTGCAGACTTGCCCACTTTGTTGCAAACGGCGCAGAAGCCCCGCTCGTCCACACGGCGATTGCACGGCAAGCTGTTGCTTTCCTTCGGCTCCAAGCAAGCAATGTAGTAGAGCGGCTGTACTTCGTCCCTCTTGCGAAGCTGAACGGAGGCAAGCCGGCAGAAGGCGCTGTACATCTCCTGCTCGTTCACAATCTGCTCGGACTTCTGCTTCATCTCCAGCACATCGAGTGTCTGGCCGGAGATGCGAGCGCCGCCGCTGCCGCTAGTCTGTGAGATGAACTTCAGGCTCTGCGCATGGCCACCCTGTGTCCACCATTCCTTCACCTTCTGTGCTTCAGGCATGTCTGGGTTGAAGGACAGGGATCCCCCCTCCATCAGAGAACCACTCAAACCTCCCTGCCACTCCTTGACTGACACTCCCTTCATGACAACGGCTGGATTGCCCGCAAACTCTGAGTCTTCCTTCTTTGCGCGGTCTCCCCAAATGGTGACTTGCATGCTCACGCCGCTGTCGTCGGCTACTGTCAGCATTCGTTTCACCAGATCCTTCCCATCCTTGGACTTAAAGGCGAAAGGCTGATCGAAGGCGGTGATGATGCCGCAAACATCCACGCTGCAGGGCAGTGTCTTTCCCTGCACGGTATGTAGGTCGACCACCGTGAACTTCACCGTGTCAATCTTTGCATCGTCTGCAACTGCATCGACTTGACACGCCCTGTCGAAAACCAGTTCATAGCGGTGCTTGCACGCATTGTACTGCCTGTTGGCAAGCTTGACCTGACCCTTGCTCAGTGTGAAGCATTTGCCAACCTCCATCTGTTCAAAGTGCTTGTCGGCAGCGTCGTTGAAGAAACTCGCGCGGATCTCTCCACCTTCGGCGTCCAGCAGCTCCACGTGGAAGACCTTGCCCTGGCCGCTGCCGTTTCGCTGCTTGAAAGTGCGCAGGGGCGCTTTGCTGGTCACGCGGCCCTTGATGGTCCACTTGGTCTGGTAAGTGGACAGCTCGCGGATGGGGAAGAACTCTGAGAGGGTCATCTTGGCAACTTCCGCTGAGTGGCTTTTTGGGGGCGCCGGTGCGAGTTGCCTACCTTTGCAGCCTTGGGCCAGAAGCGCTACGGCCAAGCTTGAGATGCTCACAGTGGGACTGCTCTGCTAGCTTTCCTAGTTTTGGAACCCCTTGCAGCGACCCAACCCTCCATGAGACCCACTACGATGCAGTCCGGGGGGTCATTTTTCACTCACTCCTTTCAGAGTGATGTGAGACGGTCCTTTCCATCAGGACCAACCCCAATGGAAGACAGGCGCACTACTTGCCATTACCGCAAAACGTATGCTGCAAAATCTCAAACACTCGCTGAGGCATATCAGGCATATCATGGCATAGTCCCCCTGACTTCCGAAACCCTCTGACCAGAGCACGTGCTGGCTACTGGTTGTAATGCCCTAGTGGCCCTGGTGCGCAGGATCTCAGCAGACAGCCTTTGCCAACATCTCGTCGATCTGCTTCAGCATGAAGCGTCCATGCTCGCGAAGGTTGACAGGATGAGCTGCCGTGCAGGAAACGTTGGTCCGCTGCTCGCCGTTGTAGTTGTCGGGCTTCGCGCGCAGCTGCACCTGCATGATCTGCGCGTAGTTGCAGCTCTTGAGCTTGGCCTCTACCGCCTCACGCCCTTCGTTCTTCTCGATGTCGGCAACCTCCTGCGCTGTCATTCCAAGAACTTTTTCAGCGGCCTGGTGGAACGTGGTGACCCAAAAGTTGCCAGTCGCATCCTCAAAGCGGCAGCGTAGATTGAGGCGAGGTGCAGACTTGCCCACTTTGTTGCAAACGGCGCAGAAGCCCCGCTCGTCCACACGGCGATTGCACGGCAAGCTGTTGCTTTCCTTCGGCTCCAAGCAAGCAATGTAGTAGAGCGGCTGTACTTCGTCCCTCTTGCGAAGCTGAACGGAGGCAAGCCGGCAGAAGGCGCTGTACATCTCCTGCTCGTTCACAATCTGCTCGGACTTTTGCTTCATCTCCAGCACATCGAGTGTCTGGCCGGAGATGCGAGCTCCGCCGCTGCCGCTGGTCTGTGAAATGAACTTCAGGCTCTGCGCATGGCCACCCTGCGTCCACCATTCCTTCACCTTCTGTGCCTCGGGCATGTCTGGGTTGAAGGACAGGGATCCCCCCTCCATCAGAGAACCACTCAAACCTCCCTGCCACTCCTTGACTGACACTCCCTTCATGACAACGGCTGGATTGCCTGCAAACTCTGAGTCTTCCTTCTTTGCGCGGTCTCCCCAAATGGTGACTTGCATGCTCACGCCGCTGTCGTCGGCTACTGTCAGCATTCGTTTCACCAGATCCTTCCCATCCTTGGACTTAAAGGCGAAAGGCTGATCGAAGGCGGTGATGATGCCGCAAACGTCCACGCTGCAGGGCAGTGTCTTTCCCTGCACGGTATGTAGGTCGACCACCGTGAACTTCACCGTGTCAATCTTTGCATCGTCTGCAACTGCATCGACTTGACACGCCCTGTCGAAAACCAGTTCATAGCGGTGCTTGCACGCATTGTACTGCCTGTTGGCAAGCTTGACCTGACCCTTGCTCAGCGTGAAGCATTTGCCAACCTCCATCTGTTCAAAGTGCTTGTCGGCAGCGTCGTTGAAGAAACTCGCGCGGATCTCTCCACCTTCGGCGTCCAGCAGCTCCACGTGGAAGACCTTGCCCTGGCCGCTGCCGTTTCGCTGCTTGAAAGTGCGCAGGGGCGCTTTGCTGGTCACGCGGCCCTTGATGGTCCACTTGGTCTGGTAAGTGGACAGCTCACGGATGGGGAAGAACTCTGAAAGGGTCATCTTGGCAACTTCCGCTGAGTGGCTGGTTGGGGGCGCCGGTGCGAGTTGCCTACCTTTGCAGCTAGCCTTGGGCCAGAAGCGCTACAGCGACGCTTGAGATGCTCACAGTGAGACTGACTGCCATCCCAAACGGCAAGCCCAAAACCATGAGCCCTTTTTGCATCCAGGCCTCTGGTCCGGTTTCCTGCGTCCCAAAACTCCAGAGCCCAAAAAAACCAAGAGACCGGGCCCCGGACTTGCAAAGAGACTTCCACTTGCAGCCACTCGCACCTGGTTTAGGGTTTAGGGTTTAGGGTTTAGGGTTTAGGGTTTAGGGTTTAGGGTTTAGGGTTTAGGTATCACGGGGGCTGGACGGCGGGAGGGCGGGGTGAGGATGGGGGAGAACAGGGGGGAGACGGGAGTACGGCCAGGAAGAGGCGGGGTTTCCGCTCAATCTGAAATGGGCAACCTCGAACCTCTAGGACCTAAACCCTAAACCCTAAACCCTAAACCCTAAACCCTAAACCCTAAACCCTAAACCCTAAACCCTAAACCCTGAAACAAACCAACCCATCGCGCCGAGCGCATGGCTGGTGAGTCGCTGCTGGGCTCCTGGAGCACTGGACCTGGGCAGCCCCCCCCTCCAACCTCAAACAAAAAACCCAAAACAAACGAAACCCCTAAACCCTAAACCCTAAACCCGAAACCCCGAACCCCATACTAGTTCATGGTTGGGATCGTTTTAAGAAATGAAATTTATCTTCCTCATTGGGTTTAAGTACCCTTAAACATGTAAAATGTCACCCAACTATGACCAAGCATACCCTGGACACCCTGAGGAAGCACAGGTCCTTTTTAAAACCCGCGCTACGCAGCTGCCGGAGAAGCAAACGTCCTAGTTGCCCCGAAGCCCAAAGCCACAAACCTCTAAGGTCCTTGCTGAACCTGCACGAAGTCGGGAGAGTCAGGGGCGCAACAGCGGTTTGGGGTTTGGGGTTTAGGGTAAATCTTGAACCCCAAAAGTTATCTGACTCTGAGCCCTGTACTTGGCAGGTTCATGGGTAGTTACAAGTAGGGCTTTTTGTCACTGAAAACTACTCATGAACCTTCAAGCATCCCTAAACCCTAAACCCTAAACCTTAAACCCTAAACCCTAACCTGTAGATGCTCAAATCAAAGGCCCCAAGAGCCCGGGTTTTGCCGAGGGCCCGCGCCCGAGAAGGCAGCCTCGGGCCCAGGGTCGTGTGGAGGGTTTCTGATCTAGGGGTTTAGGGGGTTTAGGGGGTTTAGGGTTTAGGGGTTTAGGGTTTAGGGTTTAGGATCTAGGGTTTAGGGGTTTAGGGGTTTAGGGTTCTTTAGGGGTATGGCGAGGGTTCGGGGGGTTTAAAAGCTCAGGGGTGTAGGGGTTTAGGGTTTAGGGGTTTAGGGGTTGAGGGTTTTGCTGAGCGTTGAGGGTTTAGGGTTTGGGGATTTCGGGCTTAGGGTTTAAGAGTTTAGGGGCTTCGGGGCTTAGGGTTTTTTGCCACGCGACTAGCCACAGGGCTTAGGGTTTAGGGTTTGGGGGTTTAGTGTTTAGGCTTTGGGATTGGAATAGCGGTTCAGGGTTAAGGGTTCGGGGGCTTACGGTTTAAGGGTTTCGACTCTCGCACTCACTGAAGCCGGCAAGGATTCTGTTCGGTTCGGCTGCTCATCTCGGGTTTAGGGTTTGGGGTTTAGGGTTTGGGGTTTAGGGGCTTAGGGTTTAGGGGTTTAAGGGGTTTAAGGGGTTTAGGGTTTAGGGGTGGGTATTGGGGGCCTTAGAACTTGATACCTGGTACTCGGTACTGAAACACTGGACCGCAACGTCGATCGCAAAGCCTTTGAAGCTTGCAAAACACCGCAAACCTCAACCCCCGAAGGAAACCCCAACGCCCCCAAACCACTGGATGTCCCCCGTTATACTAACAGCCCTTACTGGGGGATTCGAGTAACCCCCTATACTATAATTCCTCTTAAGGGACTGTTCGTATAAGGGGAACATAACCCTAAACCCTAAACCCTCAACAGCTGGCGCCCCCCACGGCCGCCGTCGCAGCGCCAGCTCCCAGCTGCCAAGGGCTGGTGCGGACCTCAACTAGGGTCTAGGGTTTAGGGTTTAGGGTTTAGGGTTGCCTATCCCACAGGCCAAGACACAACGGAAACAAAGCAGCACGCTTGATAAGCACAAACCCTAAACCCTAAACCCTAAACCCTGAACCCTATAGGGGCCCTATCTCCCTAAACCCTGAACCCTGACAGCTCCCAAGGCTCTTCCAGGTGAGGGGCACTACTTGAAGGCCACCACCCCCCCCCCCCCCCCCCACCCCGCCCCCCCCCCCCCCCCCCCCCCCCCCCCCCCACCCCCCCCCCCCCCCGCCCAGACACCCCAATCCGAGGCTGCCGGCTCCCATCCGGCAGCTGGGCCCCTGGAGGGCGCGCCTCTCGCTTTCTTTTATTCTTTTTTTTTTTTTGGGGGGGGGGTTCAGGATGACATGCCCTAAACCCTTTTTTTTGCTCGCCCTGATCTAAACACTCACCACTTTTAAAGGCCCCGGAAACCACCCCTAGCCTAGGGTTGCTGGTTCGGGTTTAGGGTTTAGGGTTTAGGGCTTAGGGCATAGGGCTTAGGATATTGGGATTCAGGGGTCTGAAACCGACACCCCAAGCCCTAATTGAATGCTAAACCCTACGTAGACCCAAAGCCTCGCCGTTGCATGAGCTCAGTTCAAAGAGTCTCCGGTCAAGAATGCACAAGAACCACTGTTGCTTCGCATGTGTGGTGTTTGCGGCGTACAGTAAGCTCAAGAACCCCCCCCCCCAGGAATAACCCGAAAAGCAAAGGAACGCTGACCTAATGCGGTCATGTTCCCCCCCCCATTGCGTAATTCTGTCGCAACCCTAAACCCTTTTGACTAAACCAAGGCTATCGGTGACTGCAATCATCCCCAAACACTCTGCGCACGTCTCGCAGAACCGCTCGCCTGCCACCTTTTTGCCCGCTTTATCAGCCCGTATAGCTCCTTAGCACCCCGCATTTCCCCTCATGACCCCCCTGATAGAACTCAAACCCTAAACCCTGAACCCTGAACCCCGTAAATCCTAAGCCCTACTTCCTTCTGACCCCTTCGAGACACCCCCCCCCCCCCACCCTAAACCTTAGAATCCTCCTTGGAACTAAATTCTTAGAACCCAAAAAAAAACGC